AACCCTTAACCCTAAACCCTTTAAGGCGTAACCCCCCTGCACTGGGCTCTCTTCTCGCCAGGGCTTTGTCTGCGGCTGCGAGCGCTGCGTCACCCCTTTGGACCCAGCCAGGCCATCGAACCCAAGTCCTCAACCCTAAGGGTGTAGGGTTTAGGGTTTTTACCCCAAGGGTTTAGGGTTTAGGGTTTAGGGTTCAGGGTTTAGGGTTTTTTACCCCAAGGGTTTAGGGTTTAGGGTTTAGGGTTTTTACCCTAAGGGTTTAGGGTTTAGGGTTTTTACCCCAAGGGTTTAAGGTTTAGGGTTTTTGTGGATGAACTACATAAAGAACGATACGACGGCTCAGAGTCACTCAAGGCATCTGTACTGTCTCCAGAGCACATCAAAATCCTCTGCAGGGACGCATGGTGCAGGGTTTAGGGTTTAGGGTCAGGCGTTTAGGGTTTAGGGTTTAGGGTTTAGGGCAGTTGGCAGATAGACCTTACCAAGAGCGTCCGAAGTGGTGTCCCAGCGTGAAAGGAGTGTAAAGCCCGAATTGACACGCCATCACAGAAAGCCAAAGGCCTCGTACAAAGTATTTGCACAGGGAAGCTAACTCCCACGCCACGGAGCGCGCGCCTTGGGGATATCTCCCACGGCACCTCAACCCACTTAAACCAAATCACGGAGAATATGTAAACAGACCTTGCGCTGTTTGTTTAGCGGCTGCTTACTCGGATTAAGGACAATTAGCGCTGGGATTCCCGATAACACATTTCTCTGAAGGATAGAGGCTATTGGTTTTCCAACTTTTGGGCTTCTACTGTTTGGGGTTTGTAGAATTTAAGCTCTTTGTCAGGGGTGTTAAGGAGGGTATCGTAAGAGGCCCTACGGGGCTAGGACTAGGATCATGTCAAGACATATCCCGAAACCCTAAACATATACGCACCCTGACCCCTTCATCCCAATCATAATCAGGAACCCTCAATCCCAATTAAGCCTCAATCCCTAAAACTTAAACCGTAAAGCCTCAAACCCAATTCAAGGCTTCAAGGTTGGGGATCGTGACTTTTGGGCTTGTTCTGACCACTCTTGCCTTTGACTTTTAGTTTGTGGGGGTTGTGTTTGGTGGGTATGGTGAGGGAGATACCCAGCTACCCCAAGACGCCTGAAGTGAGGAATCACTAGTAAATCGCATGAAGGAACCCTCTATAATATAAAGCATTACAAAACCCTAAACCCGATAAGGTACAGATAAGTTCTTAAGTAAGGTGTTGTGGAGTCTGGGTCTAGGTGCCAAGACGTTCAAGCCCGAACCCCCGGGAGGATCCAGCAAGAAATATAGAAGCCTAAACAATTACCTATGCTATTTTGGGTGTTCCTGATAGTCATCATACTATGAAGGAGCCCGAAACCTCATTCTAATTATTAAGGCCCTACATTAGATGGCTTAGGCGCTGCCGGGTTCTTAGAGCGTATTGGTTCAACGGAGCAGGTGGCAGGCGTCGGGGTTCGGGCCCGGAACCCTAGGCTTTACCGAGAGGCTGCGAAACTTACTCTTGGGTTTAGGGTTTAGGGTTTAGGGTTTAGGGTTTAGGGTTTAGAGAAGTCATTGCAAGCACCCCAGAATCGTTAGGGTAAGCCCTGAACCCTAAACCCTAAACCCAAGGAACTGAACCCTAAACCCTAAACCCAAAAAGCTAAACCCTGTGTTGAGGCCCTAGTTTTGAAGAAGCGACCGGCAGGTCGTTTCGCTGTCCATGCTGTGATGGAGAGGCAGGTCTGGGGAACTGGGCTTATGGTTTAGGGTTTAGGGTACACGGTAAAGGGCTTAGGGTTTAGGGTTTAGGGCCTCAGCCCTAAACCCGACACCCCAAAGCTGGGTTTGGGGTTTATGGTTAGGCTTCTGATTGTATTGCTCTGAGGCTCCGAACCCTTATGTTTGGAGTTCAGGGTTTTTTGGGGCTTGAGGGTTTAACACGGATTCCTGGTTCGGAGCCTGATTATGATCAACATCCTTACGGCCTTTCTACAGCCTGGAGCTAGGTAGCTCAACTTGCCGAAAAGTCGCGCTATGAGTAGTACAGTGCACGAAACGGAAGCCACAGACTCTAGTCCCTGGGCCCTGCGTTGCACTCCAAAGACTCTTAACCCCGAATTCGCTTGATTTTACAAGGCTTCAGCAAGCTTCAATACAGGATTCTATCATGATTTTTGGCACGGTTTTCTCGTTGACTTGTGTGTCTTTTAGTGGGCTCAGCCTCTCGCCATGGGTATTTCACGATCAAGAGCTGGCCACGGCATCGGTAGGTCTTGGTGGTTGCTGCTGGTTGCTCTGCCTCTGCAGCTGCACCAGTTCCCCACGGCTCGACCCAACCACTCAAGGCCACAGCAAGTGCCTCCGTCGAAGCGAGAACGCTACCTCCTGAGACCTGCAGAAGACTTTGTGTCTCACACCGGCCGCACTGGGGCAGAAAAAGGTGAAGGCCTTCACTTCATTACTTCTCCCTTGGATCCGGAAGGCATCCCAGACACTGAACGAAGTGCGGCCTTCTCAAAGTGGCGCGCCCAGCTGAAAAGCGCTAGGACCGGCCATGAAGTTTGGGCACGCTTGGAGCTGGCTGCAAGCCGCAACCAGGTGGACGCAAGCGTGTTGGGAGCTGCGATGCAAAAATGTGGCCACCAACGATGGTGGACAACCCTTCTTGCTGTGTACGGCATGGTGGCCAAGGAAGGAATCAAGCTCGGAAACATTGCCAGAAACATTGCGATGACGGCCATGGCCTCGTGCCTAAGAGACCGGAAACTTTCACGTAAGGCGTTAGCACCTCGCAAACTGGAGGCGCTGCAACTGAGCAAGGACCTTTGGGAAGCCAGGTCTGCACCGGAATCTGAACTCGCTTACAACCGCGCTTTGAGCAGTGCTTGGGATGTATGTTCAGCAGTGGGTCCAGAAGCATTATCATGGGCAGGAGCCATTTTCAGGTGGTCTGAAAATTTCACTTTTGCCAAGAATGTTATCTCCTACACAAGTTGGCTCTCACTTTTGGAGCACTGTGGAAAGCGCCAGCAAGTTGACAACATCTTGTGCCAAAGTGCCAACTGGAGCACTGTGTCCCTGAATGAGGTCACATTAGGAAATTTGGTAAATGAAGCTGCCATGGCGCAGAACAGCAGCCGAGCAGATCAGCTGTGGAGCACACTTGTGGGCGAATTGGGCGTGAAACCGAACTTGATTTGTTTCGCTGCCCACGCGAAAGCGCACCTCTTGGCAGGGAAGCCAGACAAGGCGATAAAGGTTCTGGATTGCATGGGTGATTGGGCCGCGGTGGCCTCTAACTACCAAGCCATCGCCATCTACCTCCAGGCGCTTCTGATTCTGTGCCATTCTGCTGCGTCTGGTCCAGACTTCAAGCGTTTGTCCATGGTTTTGTCTGGTGCCGTTGACGTGAGTTTTGCTAAGCGAGGCCAGAAAGTGAAGAAGGAGTGGCAAGAGATGCAAAGTGCGGGCAGGAATATTCTTTCAAAGGGTGCGCCCTTGACACTGCATCAGATCCTGTTGCACGACGGAGCGAAACGCTGGAGTGTCATGAAGAGCTGGCCGGACTATCCCGCAGGGTCAAATTACTTGACACTGGCACACCCAGCTCACGAAACTGCACAGTTGCGGTCTACACCTCAACGGCTTCCTACGAGCTCCAAGCGTGTTACTAGGCCGCTGGGCCTGGGCTGCTGATGCCTTGTGATGCCTTGTGGACGCTGGCTTGCGAACCAGGTTCCCGTGCAGAGCTTAGGGTTTAGGCCTTCGGGTTTACCCTCCAAAAGTCCCCAGGCGCTGGCGCGCGTGCGGTCGCCGGGAGGTGCCCCCAGCGAGGGGCTTTGGTTTGGGGGCTTCTTAACCCTACTCTACTTATGGCTCTCTTAACAGGGACCTTGTTGAGAGGGTCTATGTCCCCAAGGATCCCCCTAACTTTAACTTCCGGTTTAGGGCTGCGCAGAGAAGCGTTTATAGAGCGTTGGATAAGGGTTCCTTTACCGGGGCTTGTGTTTAGTTCATCTCCTTGTGCTTTTTCTTCCGGGTTCTTGGGTTGGCAGTTTTCGGATTGGTGTTGGCTTTCTTCAGGCGGTAGTCGTAACCGCAGCTATGGTCCAACGGAATAGCCTCGTGTACTACTGCTGAACAGAATCCTGCCTGATCCGTGAGACGGAATGTAGAATAGCTTTGTTCGCGGCGTTTACGTTACCCTAAAATCCGTTCAGTGGTTCTAACTCATAACCCAAAACCCTAAACCCTAAACCCCAAACCCTAAACCCTTAACCCTAAACCCTAAACCCTTAACCCAGTTAGGGTAGTTGCTACTGTGCCTCCAAAGCATCTTCAGTCCCCCAGGCCGTTCGACGCCTGAACCTTCTTAGGGTTTAGGGTTTAGGGTTTAGGGTTTAGGGTTTAGGGTTTAGGGTTACCTTCCAAAACCCCTTAATTCAGGAATATACTTTAAATCATAGTAGGGATCCTATTATATTTTAAGCCCTAAGCCCTAAACCCAAAACCCTATTCCTTGATTAAGGGATTTGGATTTTCTGGGCAGATAGCCGAACCCCGGGCCCTACACTTTCAATCTCCAGACTAGACCGGTTTAGCGTTATGGGTTTAGGGCACTGGGGGTTTAGGGGTTTAGGGTTTCGGGCTTAGGGTTTATAAACTCTCACAACACCCTCCGAACAGCAGCAACCTTTCACAAACTGCGAAAAACTTCAGCACCCTTATGACACCCGTGTAAAGCATGTCAAGAGCCTCTCGCAAGAAAGTGCCTTGTACCCTACCCAGAGCTTTCAAATCCCTTAATTAAGGAATATACCTTAAATTACAGTAGGATCCCAAAAATGATGTACGGTATATTCCTTAGTCAAGGGATTTTGGAAGGTCTGGGTATTCCATGAAAAGCAAATCTTTTCACAGGAGGCCCTGAGCCGGGGAACGATGCAGATGTGCTTGCCCGGATCTCACGCCGGAAGGGTTTACGGTTCAGGGTTTTTGTGTTTATCATGGGTAGCGTTTGCACCTCTCCA